TAAGAAAGTCCTTTAAATGAAGAGTCCAACAGCAGACATAAGCCTTTGGAAGTAAAACCAGGGGAGGTGGGATGGAGCACCAAAAATAGAGCAGGGATGCTAGCTGCCTCAGTCCCCTCTGGTGTATGTCCACACTATTTCACTTTGTGATCACAGGTACAAGTGCTTAGAAATGTATCACAGATTGCCGGAATGTTAACAGCTGGGTCAGAAAACACCTTATCACTTTTCACCTTACTGTTCTCATTAAGTTCCATTTGCCATAAAAGTCTTCGGAGACATGAAAAGCAGGGCTAACCTTTTCTTTCAATAGCTTGGTACAAAAAAAAAGTGATGATATGCAGAATATATTTTATATAAGGTCATAATACCCATCCTAATGGCACAGACAGGATGCAGCCCTCTGCTACACCCTGCATCTAGAAATACATTAGTCTCAAGCCCATGCTGGAGATTCCATAGCCTGGCATTGAATGATATCAAATGTGCTGTATTCCTTGCCCAGAACATGTGACTTAATTTTATCTTAGTTTAGACAGTCTATTTTTGTTAACAAATCGAAAGAAAAATGTAAGGAAAAAAATAACAAATAATAATAAAAAATAAAATCAGATTGGCAAAAGGTTGTCTATCTCTGACTCCAGCAAAAGGCACGACCTTGTCATGAAGCATGAGTAAGACATCATTTTACCAAACAAATGCATTTTATGTCTTTAAAAGATATATTTATTAAAATAAAAACACATTTAAAAAAATTTCTATTCCCTTAATTATGTTATTTTACATCATCAAATGACATCGTGGCAATGGATCATCTATAACAAGGTAATTAATAGTTTCTCTTTGGAGAACTGACATTTCAAATGCTATTTACTATGAATTTGAGTTTTTCATATGGAAGTCTTAGACATGAAAAACTAGGCAGATATGTTTTTATACCTCTAGCTTTATTTATGAATGTTTGTATATCATTTTATTATATATACACACACACAAGCTAGATTTGTTCTTGGTACAATCATCAAGCACAAATGTAGGAACACAAACTATAGGGTAACAAAATATATGAAATTATTTTTTATTGAATTTGATAATATATGAATATAGAGTCCATGAACTATTTCTAGAAAATATTAATAGATTAAGGATATGCTATCATGTTTATTTTTATTTGTTTATTATAGCTAGAAAGTTATTATATCATCAATAAATATCTGACTCCACTCAAAAAAATCTCAACATTTTGAAAATCTAAGGCTGGTTTCATGGGGCATAATATACCCTATTTTCCATTGAACAATGCTGCTGATAAAACCTGCTGCCCAGGCTTGCTGTTAGTGACTACAGTACATACAGCAAAACAATCTGCCTGCTGACCTCCTGCTTAAGTTCAAACTATGTCATTCTGTCAATACCATCTACCTTGATTAGGTTGGGCTTTATATACAACAGGTTACGATCCCAGAGGGATGAAAAGCTTTCCCAAATTAAAAGCAGAATTTTAAAAGGAAATACTCATACATTCCTATGCAGTTTCCATTTGATATCCTCAAGGCTGGCCCATGAACTCAAGCTCATGTTGATTGAAAGTGAATGTTTCTCTCTGGGTGTAGCCATCTTACAAATTTAATGGCAGGAGGAAAATAATAAAATGTGTTCCATGCTTCAATTAGACCTTTTATAACTTGGCACTTGAAAGATGGCAATGCCAAAGAAAAATCATTAATCTATAAAAATAGACAGAAAAAGGATTGTATGGGAAAAGACAGACCTCCAGGACTCTAGGGTCTTGGCAGAGCATACCCTCTCACCAATATGGTCTGTCTCTTCTCTTGCCTTATTGTGAGTCTTCTCTCGTGCTTCATGCTATTTGGATAAAATGTATACTGTATTTGCTTCTAAAATCCAAAGTAATACAACCATGCTTTCAATTTTACCCTTAGCCAGAGGAGCTGTATACATAACCGGGCAATAAAATGTTGGCTAGCCATGAAATGCCTATTCATGCACATGAATGATAGATGAAAGAACACACACACACACACACACACACAACTATAACATAAAATCAAAGGATGCATCATTGCAATTTGTATTTTGCAGTAGCATACAACAGACTTGCTCAAAAGGACCACATTCTTTCATAACCCCAGTCCTGATAACTATGAACACACAAATGCTACCTGAGTACTCCAAGTCACAAGACAAAAGTGGTAGATTGATGTCTAGAACATGTTCAGGTCTCTCTGAACCTCCGAATTCATCTTCAAGTGATGTAAATGGACTCGTCAATATTAGAACATAGAAATTAGCTAAGAGTCAAGGGAGCAAGAGATTCCACCTCTCTTGGTCTCCTGCCACACCTAATATGTCAGCAACAAATCTCAAACAATCCCACTGTGTTTCTTCCCTGCTCCCACTCCTGCAGTTCCAGTGCTGCTGAAGACTGTTACCACAATGGTTGGTACCATCACTAGTTCATGCTGTGAGGCCCCAAACTACCTCCCAAATCCTGAGATCTCAAATTGACTCCCTATCACATTCAAGCTGTCCACCCACTTCTGGCTTTCCTTTCAACATCAAATTTTGGAAAAAGGAATCTGCCTTTGTATCCTCAACAGTTAATAGCTCCTTAACTCCAAAATTCCAGTTCCTGTACCCACCACTCTAATGAAATTATACTCTGAAATTTTCCAAAGACTTCTCCCAACCAACCGCCAAGATTCATGGCACAGTTTCAAGACCCTCCCTCGCAGACTTCTCAGCTTTCCACACATGGACAAGTCTCCTGGAAACTCTCCACTCATGTCCTCAATTCGCTCACTACTCTTTCCCTATTCTTTCATCTCCATCTGCCACACCTGCATCTCTCCTGGCATTTCTTCTGTCTCTGTTCCTGATGCTGCTGCCGTGGTAGTGGTGGTGGAGACAGTGGTGGTTTCTCTCCTTCCATCTATGACTCTTTAGATCCCAGGCTCTGTTAAAAAAAATTCCTAATCTCTTGCTCTAGCCCTGACAATTCTTCTTAGTACCAAACTCACACTTTCAATGACTGCTGCATATCTTCACTTATGAAGTCTTTCAGCACTTCAATGTCAAAATAACCCAATCTAAAATAATCACTTTAACATTATTTCAACAACTCTTTCAACATCTTCCTTGATTCTCTTAATAATTACACCTTTATTCTCAGTCACCAGGCTCAAACCTTGGTGTTATCTTTACTTCTTCCCTCTTTATCCACTCACACACTTTCTGTCAATTTTATTTCCACAATGTTTCTTGACTCTGTATTCTCCACTCCATTGCCACAAGCCTAGTTCAATCCTCCACCCACTTCATCTGGATACTTAGGGCAGCCTCCTAAATGATATTCCTATCCTCTTGCTACCATGAGAGTGAAAAAAACCTTCCTAAGATCTAATTTGGACTATTGGATCATAGCATATTCCTACAGAAAGACCTTCAATGCTTTCCAGTGCCTATTAAAGTTCAAAGTTCTTAGCATGGCCCTTAAGATGTTTTTTGGTCTGTGTCCCCCCTTTAAGTTTTATTGTCTAGCTTTATTATCAACTATTCCCTCATTTTTTGACTCAACATTTTTCTCATGAATTTTCTTAGCTTAGAATAAACTTTTTCTTCATCTTTACCTATTAAATTTTATTTATCCTTCAAGGCCTAACTCCCCAGCAACCTAATACTCTAGCTAGCTGTTTACATATATGTTTGCCCATAATCTTTTTCCTCTTTGCATCTACAGAGAGCTTAGCTTCCTGCCTTGCATTAGAAGGGTGGCTAAATTTACACCTATTGTCTTCTTGAAGACTTACCATATTTATTCCACTGGAAGTAATCCTTGCCCACCTCATCATGAACCTCCACTATAATCATTGCTTACACTCTCCTACATTATTCACCATACTTCACATTTTACTATTGTAATCTGGTTTCACTACTAGATCATTATTAGCTTTCCAAGGGTAGGCACCTTTACTTTTCTGTTACTCTTATAAGGGCTAGATTGATGGTTCTCAAAATGTGGCCCCCTGACTAGTAACAACAGCATTGCCTGAGATCTGGTTAGAAATGTAAATTTCTGAGTCCCAACTCAGACTTACTATATCAGAAACCTTGGGATGAGGCCCAGCGATTTGTTTTAACAGCCCTCCAGCTGATGTCGATGCACACTCAAGTTTAAGAACCACTGATGGAAAAGAATGCCTTACATATAAGCAGCCCTCAATAAAATAAGACATGCATGAATTAACTGTTTACCTTTTTATCATCTAATATATTGGCACATAATTCTCTCAAAACATTAAAAATATAAGTAAACTATCCCTTATCGATATCTTAAATCCAACTGTACATTTTGAAGGGTTTATAAAAATTATAAAATTATGACATATGATACTCCTTTTATAAAGTTCAAAAACAAGGTAAACAGTAAACAGTTTGGGCATGCATAAATAGTTTTACAACTAGTTTTAAAAAAAACAACGGGGAGTGATAATTATAAAATTAAAGATCAGGATTACATCCAGGGAAAAGTAGATGGAGAGGCTAAGAGAGGAGTACATACATAGACTCGAGTCATTGGTAACATCTGGAATTCTGAGTTGGGTGGTGGGTTCACACATGTTCATTACATTATTGAAATGAAGGATCAAAAATTACCTATCGGGTATACTGTACACTATTCGGGTGACAGGTATACTAAAAGCCCTAACTTCACCACTATGCAATCCATCCATGTAACAAAAAACCACCTGTATCCCTGAAATCTATTGAAATTTTTTAAATTAATTAATTAATTAGGGTTGTGCATGGATCAGTGCTGATAATGTTTCATGAACTAAGGATTATTAACTAATTCTTATATGCTCTGAGATCCATAAAACTTTTTAAAAGAGATAAAAAATAATTAAAAAGACATATAACAATGCTTTCCCTAGCATTAATTCTTAACCACCAATTATAGTGTTCAATGCTAATTGTACCTGCGTGCGGTTAAATGCCACTCTTGCAAAGACAGCTTGGGACACACTGGCCCTCTTCAGCTCATCTCTGACTTGCTGGTAAATATCCGGAGAGACTTCCACGGAAGAGTTGGTTGGCTCTGGCTTAACTGCTCTGGGAATGGGTGGATGGTTCAGGAACTGCTGGTTGATGGCTTGGGGATGCTGGTGAGCCAGGAGCCGGCTAACGGCAATCTGTTGGTTTATCAGATGGGCCATGGCTATTTGTTGCCTTACAAGTTGTGGGCTGAGCTGGGGAGAAAGAAGACCAGGGCTCATGATGGGCTGTAACGCGGGCACTTGGTTTCGGATTGGAGTGCTGTGGTGGATTTGGCTGTGAGGAGACTGTTCGTTGGTTTTCCCCAGGGATGCCAGCTGGTTCATATTTGGTAAATGCATTGGACGCTGGCCCAGAACACAATAGTCTGAAAGGTTTTCTCGTTCCACTCTTTCCACTGTTAAGACATAAAAATGATAACTCATCATTATTTTCACTGGTATACTTTATTGCTAATATATGTAGTACTGCATTACCATATTTTTGTATATTAATGACATAAACCATTTTTCACACAAAGCTAGAAGCTCCAGAGGGAAGTGAACATTTTCTATAAAATGTTACCATAATAGATTTTTTCATGAAAGATATAAAAGTAAAAATATTTGTCACTTCAGTGTGTTTAAATTCTTAAAAGTAAGTATTTTACTGAAGAGCCAGGACAGAAACTACAAACCATTACAAGTTCTAAATCCTCTCATATTCCCAAGCTCTATCATCTCCCCTATCACCCTTTGTTATAAAAGCACTGGCTGTTCTTATCTTTTGTAGTTTGTCGTTGATGGTGTAGTTCATGGTGATCAGAAAATGACAAGGACAACATCTCCTGCCAAATTAAGTGCTACCTTCTAATAAAAATCTCACATAAATACTATCATACAATTATGGAGATATTCATAGAAAATGTCTACCACATAATGTATATACATTTATCTACTCATTTGATATCATTTTTATAGAAATGTTTCTTTAAGAAATGTATATTTTAATGATTCTGATATATACTCAGATAAGAAAAAAAATTCACAAAATTAAAAACAACACCTTGAGTTGCCATTACATAAGGGTCTCCCTGCTCCAGGTTATCTGCTTTATTACATTTTATTGCACTTTACCAAAGATTTTAAAAATAACCTTGAAAGGGAGAAGAAAATGAAAGTGAGTATTATGTATGTCCAAAGGTAAGGCAAATTTTTTTCTTTCCCCAAAATCATTTCTCAGGAAAGAGGGAGTCACCTCATAGTCAAATACTTACGTAAGTCTCTATATTACTTTGTGATATAAGACAAAGTTTTGTTTGAAGAAAATACATTAGGCTGAAACAACCTCATCATTGTTAGTGGGAAATGCTTATAGCTGTAATCTGACAAATTCTCTTTTTGAAAGCAAAAATTCCATACACACTTACTAATTATTTCTTATAATTGCAAATTCTAGATATGATTATGCAAAAAGCTATTAAAAGTAACTTTTAAAAGCACTATTTTTGTTGGTTACATGCTAGAGATCAAAAATATTCACCTACAGGACAAATTTTTTTAAAATTACTGTCCCCCTATTATGCAAATGATGCTTGTAGTTTGGCATGCAATTTACAGTGACCAAATTATATTTTTATCAAAAAAATATCAAATCTGAAAAAATTTAGGGAGAAATGATGTATGCTGGAAAGTCGGGTAAGATGTCTCAAAACAGGGGATTTAGTGATGACAAAGATACTGGTGCCAAATCAGATGTGAAGAATTTGAATAAAATCAATCAATGAACTATAAGGGCAGGAAAAAGTAGTATTTCTATATTTTACATAATATGTGATTTTAAAATATATATGTGGAACTAAATGAATACATTAAAAATGTAGTTATATATTTGACCATTCTCTCTACATGTATAAAAGTTTTACATATGTAAAAGGTCTCATTGGGGAAATAGGTGAATATCTATATCTTGGGATCACCTTATATTCAGACACATACGGCACTTTTTCCTGCTGTTTTAAAAACTGAATTCTTTCTTAACTTTCCTATGAATTCCCAAATAAGTAAAAAGTTTACCTCAAACTTTTTTTAGAGTTCAATTTCTAATTTAATCCTTACAATGTAATTCATTTAGTTTATATGTCACTTTTCCTTCATAAGGTTCAAGGTAAACAAATTATTTTACTCTTATCCTCTAAAGGCAAACATTTTTCAATCATCATATTAATTACACTTTAAAGTACATAGACTTAAAACCAAAGAAAATGGTTAAGAGCCTTCAGAGAAGGTAATCTAACATTTTCCACAGAACAGGAATTACTATTATAATTTCCTTGTTGAAAAAAAGAGGTAAAGAGACCATGAACTGCTTCCAAAGTAAAATCATGTTTTAAAGGCAGAAATACTTGGCCTCAGTTAGTAATTTGATTCACTTTAGCTTGTTTATTTGCTTTTTAATTCAGCCAAGGCAAAGATTAATTCAAATATGAAATTATTTGATATTTTCAGGTACTTAATAAGCAAATGTTATACACATTTATTTTTCACCTTAAAAAACAGAACCATCCTCTTATAGAATGCATTCTTTTGACCAAAAGCTAAATTTTCCAAAGTTTCAGTATTTTTATTTTTTAACTATTTAATTATGTTTGGATGAGTTTACTTTCCTGAGATATATCTAAATCGTATCATTAATTTTAAGAAGCCCACTCCATTCATAGATCTAGTAATAATTATACACACAATTAGCATAAACGTGAACTCAGTGAAACCTATATGAATTGGCACAATAAAAATCTAAATAATGTCAGTCCATATTCTTTAAGGTTATATACAATAATTCCTCCTATCCTTATGAGTTCCCAGATCCTTATAAATTCATAGTTAAGGACAGTGACTGTGGAAGAATCCTTAGAAACATGCAGTAAAATCATGAAGTACTAACTACTTAGTATAAACCCTTAATGAGGAATTAATTGCAAGTGCAAATGCCTACCTGTCCAAGTAGATAACAGCAGAAAAGCCAGCTGCAGAGGTGGAGTGAAAGTCGGTCTAGTTCGAAAGGAGCAGCCACTACCTCACCTCAGCCAGTGTGTGTCTTTCTTGTATTGTCATTACATGTTGGCAACTAATTCCATTTTCAAAATACAATAAAAGCCAAACAAAACATTTCTGAAAACCAGATCCTACCCATGGGCTGACAGTTTCTAAATTTTGCTTCTGAGACTAAAGACATCTCTTGTTTTTTAGTCCCCAGTGGCTCTACCAATAAAAGCCAAGTTCTTTACTCCCAAGAATGAAGGAAGAAAAAAAATCATCATCCCAACTTTAAAAACGCCTAAGGGTCAAATGCTAATCAACAGGCTGCACTTCCACTCACCAAGGCAATGTAAGATTTCAGAAATGATTTGCACAGACTTTGCATAATTTTAAAACATTTTCATTTATTTCTAGCTGCCACTCTCATAAAAATAATATGGGAATAATATCTTTAGACTCTTAAGTCACAGCAAGTGAAGTACAAATGCTTTAAAAAAAAAAAAAGCATCATAATGTGCCAGACTCCATTTGAAAACTGAGCCTGAAATTCTTTTTCTTTTTCTTCATTGTTTCTTTTCTTTCTTTCTCTTTCTTTCCTTTCTTTCATCCCTCCCTCCTTTCCTTTCTTTTTTCCTCTCTTTCCCTCTTTTCTTTCCTTCCCCCATCCCTCTCTCTTTCCCTTTTTCTTTTTTTCTTTTAAAATAATTTGGAAGTAATCACAATGTCTGAAATGTAGACCTAACAGCAGCGCCTGATTTTGTGTTTTTGCTTTTTCACTCTGTGATGGAAAACATCACGTTAAAGTCTGTCTTAAATTAAACCAAGACCAAAGACCACACCTTGATTCTGAGAGCCATCTTATCCCTGCTATATTCAGCAGTAGATCAGTAATCCTGGTAAAAGTGAAGGATAAAAGGTAGTGCCACCTCTGATGGTAAAAGCAGTGTTCACATTCACAACAGAAAATATTCTAGATAAAGTCAACATGCTGACTTATTAAAGAGATATTAAAAACACAACTATTTCCAGGGCTTTAAATCAGATCTGCAATTTAATTTACAGTGAATTTGATACTAGTACGGCTGAGGTCCTGAAGGTGTATGTTGGAATGGGAAGTGCCTGGGAAAGAATGATGTCCCCAGCTTCAAATGTAAGTCCCCAAACAAGACATGGCTTGAGGAACTGTCGAGGCAAGGGGAATGGAAACACTTCTGTATCTAGTAGCTGTGAGGCTTTTGGTAGCTAATCCAACATTTGGGGAAAGGTCCAAGTCCAGGGGCCTTCTAGGTGAACAGTTCAGACCTGGAGTCTGCTTAGGTTTCTGAGAAACTCAGAGCTCCATGAGGATCTGGCAGATTCCTTCAAGCTTTCTGGGACTGGGTGAAAATTGCAGAGAACGGACAACCGTTATCTAACCACCCACTAAGCTTCTGGGACTCTGTTTAACTCTAAAGTGGGTAGAGCCTTTGTTCCCCTGTATGAGAATCTCAGGGACTCCGAAAGCCTCGTCAAGTTCACAGTGATAATGTTCTAACCAAGAGCACCCTGTGACCATTAGTTGTTCCTATACTTGGGATTCCTGGCTATGGCTGACTGTTAGTAGACAAGAAAGTTACAGTCCTCCCCAGGGATTTATCTGTTTTATAATTAAAAGATATTTGGCCCAAAAATCTTATTTTATTTAAGGCAATTTTACAGTACATCCAGGAAGCCAAGTATTTATTTTAAATATTGCAGATCCCTGATATATATTTTAGGTTGTTACAAGAACATTTTCAATACTCAAAAATAAAATATATATTCTGGCACTTAATTCTTTTTATTATAATTTCTTTATTATAATTATGTAAATGTAATAAAATTTCAATGCTCAAAATATATTGCAATGACTAAGTGCCCCCAAAGAATAGTTTCTGTGGAAGATCTATGAGCAAAAGGAGAAGCATCTGATAGGCACAGGTGCCTGCCAATCCTAGCAAGATGCCACAGGAAAGGTGGAAAGAGCAAACTGGGATTTCTAAAGCCTGCATTGTAACTAGCTGGGTGATTCGGGGATTACCTATAAAATAGGGAAGATCACCTATAAATTAGTCGTAAAGTAACTGTCCAGGTTACTTATCTAAGAGCATCTTAAAGAATACTGTATTACTGTATTTTTTTTAAATACAGTACTGAATACTGTAGGATTTTTAAAACAATTCTTTCTCAGAATACTTGCTTCTGCTCTTGACTCTTTAGCAAGAATTTAAGACTTTCCTAAGACATCTTTGTGACACTCCCTATCACAAGAATAATAGTAGTTTATATAGTGGCAATAGGAATAGTAGTTATAGTATTGTTCTTACAAATTTATCAGTACTGCTAAAAAGACAGACAGTAT